GAAGCGTGTCCAGAGTAGTGGGAAATGCAGATTACAGTCCACAACCTGGGAACCATATGGGATTGAGGGTTCTGAGAAATACGCACACACATGGTAGGAGTCCAGCCAGCAGGCTGGAGGGTGGCAGGCGCGGGCTTCAACCATAGGGAAGAGGCTAGGGGGCTAGAGCAGGATCCAGGATTCACTAATTTATCCACCATATTGTTTCCTTCTCCTTCACGAATTTATTGAAATACAGAAAAGTACATAAATCCATAGAGTACAGCTCAATGAACTGTCACGAGATAAAAAGGTGCACCAGTACCCTGATCAAGGAACAAAGTGTATCAGTCCCCCACAGAGCTCCCCGTGGACCTCCCTTCCACTTGCTATTTCTCAAAGGTAACCACCATTCTGACCACCATCATTATGGGTTAGCTCTGATTGTTTGGTACTTTATGCACATGGGATCCTACAATATTTTTCTTTCATATCTGGCTTCTTCTCCTCAGCGTAATACATATAATTAGAGTCCATTCTCATTTTTATATGGTGGATGACATTTAATAAACCACAATTCATTTTCCATTCTACCATTGACAGATATTTGTGTGATTTCCAGCTTGGAGTTATTATGAACAATGTCTTTCAGCAATTACACGTACACATTTCTAATCAGTATAATTATATTACTAGGAGTGGAATTGCCAGATTATAGAGAACATGTACACTCAACGTTAGTAAATATTGCCCATTGTTTGTCACTCCCAATGTGGTATGTTTCCCAGGGTCATGTCCTTACTGGCTCTTGGTATTTTCCATCTTTTTCATGTTAGCCGTTCTTGTGGGTGCATGAGCAGTATCATTGTGGTTTAAATTTGCATTTCTCTGAAGACTAATAGAACCACACCTCTTTCATTCATCATTTGGGTTTCCTCCTTCATAAAGTGTTCAAGTTTCAGCCATTTCTCTATTATGTCATCTTTTTTTTAATATATAGTTTATTTTATATTCTGAATTCTAGCCCTTTTACGGATACATGTTGTATTAGTTTCTTAGAGCCTCCGTAACAAATTACCCCAAACTGGGTGGCTTAAAACAATGGATGTTTGTTCTCTCATGGTTCTAGAGGCTGAATGTCTGAAATCGAGGTGTTGGCAGGGCCGTGCTCCCTCCGAAGGTTCTAGGGAAGAACCCTTCTTCCCCTCGTCCTAGCGTGTGGTGGCTCCCAGCACTCCTTAGTGCTCCTGGCTTGGGGCCGCATCACACCAATCTCTGGCTCTGTCCTCACATGGCCTTCTCCCTCCCTGAGTGTCTCTGTGTCTCTTCACGTGGCCTTTTTTTTTTAAGATTTTATTTATTTATTTGAGAGAGGGAGAATGAGATAGAGAGCATGAGAGGGGGGAGGGTCAGAGGGAGAAGCAAACTCCCTGCCGAGGCGGGAGCCTGATGCGGGACTCGATCCCGGGACTCCAGGATCATGACCTGAGCCGAAGGCAGTCGCTTAACCAACTGAGCCACCCAGGCGCCCACGTGGCCTTCTTATAAGGACACCAGTCACTGGATTTAGAGCTGAAAGGGAAACAACTCTTCTGCTTTATGTCTACTCACTACAACACTCCACTGTCAACGCTTTGCTTTGGACGCCAGATGTGGGTTTTCCTCACCCCAAGCAATTCTCAGACACCAGCTGGGCATCCTGTGATGTGACAGAGTCCTGACGTTATCTACTGGCAGATTGCGTCAGATCCCAGAGGTTAAGGGCTCAGACCTACAAGACTGCCCCTCCCCCACTTCAGCTGCCAATTTCAAGTCCAGGTCATCACCTGTGCTTCTGACCTGCCGGCAGTCAAATGGAGGTTCCCCTGACCCCCTCCTCAGAATTGATGATTTGCTAGAGCAGCTCACAGAGCTCAGGAAAACTAGATTTATTCACTAGATTACCAACTGATTCTGAAGGATACAACCTAGGAACAGCCTGATGGAAGAGATGCAGAGGGCAAAATATGGAGAAGCGCGCTGAGCTTCCAAGCCCTCTGGGTAGGGGTAGGCGTCCCACCCTCCTAGCACCTCCACGTGTTCACCAACCCAAAAGCCCTCTGAACCCTGTCCTTTGGGGATTTTGGGAGAGGCTGCATTATGTAGGCATAATTAATTAAGTCATTGGCCACTGGGGATTAATTCAACCTCCAGCCCCTCTCCCCTCCCCAGAGATTTGGGGGAGGGGGGGCTGAAGCTGCTTCCCCTGGTAACTACCTCCCTCCCTGTGGTTTTATCTAAGGGCTTTTCAAAAAATCACTGCATTAACATCAACACAGGTGTGGTTGGAAGGGGCTGGTTGTGTGTAATAAGATACTCCTTTCATCTTTATTGCTCTGGAGCTATTTCAAGAACTGAGGACAAAAGACCAAATGTTAGAAACAAAAGATGCTCCCATTGCTCTCCCAGCTTAGAAAATTACACAGGTTTGGGGCACCTGGGTGGTGCAGTCAGCTGAGCATCTGACTCTTGGTTTCAGCTTAGGTGGTGATCTCAGGGTTGTGGGATTGAACCCCTGCGTTGGTCTCTGCACTCAGCAAGGAGTCTGCTGAAGACTCTCTCTCCCTCTCCCTCTGCCCCTCTCCCTCTCTAAAATAAATTTAAAAAAAATTAGAAAGGTTTTAGGAACTGTGTGCCAAGGGTTGTAGGCCAAATATATATTTCTTATTATGAACCACAATATCACAAGAGCCTATCCCAATCCAGTATGACCTCCTCTTAACTAATTACAGCTGCAAAGACCCTGTTTTCCAAATAAGATCACATTCCAAAGTTCTGGGTTGACATGAATTTTGGGGAGACCCTCTTCAACCTAGTATAGACATATTGCAAAAATCTACCCAACCCCCCAACTTTTCACTCTCTCATTGGTGCCTTTTAATGACTAAAAGTTCCAAATTCTAATTACAGTCCAATTGATCAACTCTTTATCAGCCCCTGTGGTTAGTGTTTATTGCGTCCCATTTATGAAACCTATAGGTCCCCAGCACACTGTAGCTGTTGAAGCAGGAACTGGTGTGTGAAGGTGGTGTCAGTAGGATGGTGTGGGGCAAATTGACGGCATGGGTGGGGAGGCTTAACATGAAAGAGAGAATGTTCAAGGACAAACATAATAATGGTAGCAGGTGCTGTTGGGCCGCCACTCATATCCCCTTATCACTCACTTCTGTGAGTCAAAGGCTGCTAACTAAGGACACCTGCCCTGCCTGAGGGCTGTTACCCTGATCACAGAGCACTCTCAGCCTGCTCCTAGGACAAGACAGAGATGTGGGATGCAGCCCTCAACCAATGACATGAAGAGAGGTCACCCCACAGTTGGGTCAACTCAGGTTTGTTCTGCACAGGTCCCCCAAGCCCCTCAGAGCTACCAAGCTTCAGCTGCCCATGGCAGGAACCTGCTTGATCACCCACCCCCATGTCGGTGCCCTCCCTTCCCCACCTTCTGTCTGCTCTCCCCGACTGGTGTCTTCTGGAATTACCACCTTCACAAATTGCTTACGCTGGGGTCCTTGTCTCAGCACCGGTTTTAGGGGGACCCAAACTAAAACAATGGTCTTCAAATCTGCCCAAACCTCAATTTGCTCATCTTCCAAAATTAGGCATTTTTGAACAGAGTAGAAGCAATGGAAATATAGATTTCAGCCAAATTTTAAAAAGAACCTAAAAGAATTTTGTCAAAGTCAGAGCCGTCTTAGGTTGAGACAAGGTCAACAGTGAGGCGCGTTCAGAACCATAGTCAGAATAGTCTGGATGACTGAGGTGTTGGGGGGGTGGTGCTGTGTTAAAGGGTCCCAGTTAGCTCTTAAAAATCCTATGGTTCTAGATGGCTAGTGGATTTTTTTTTTTTTGTCTTAAACTCAAATTTTTAAAGCCCCAGGGGGGCATTCTCAGGGGGTGGATACAGATCTGAAAGTCCCGCTCTACCCTTCCCTAAGACTCGGTGAAATTCACTGGCCCACTCTAGAATACTCTTTCCCCGTTTTAGTCAGATCTGGCTAAAATGTAGATTCCTCGCTGTCTCTCCCAAAGAGCCTGATCCAGGAGGTACAAAGCAGGTACAGGGAATATCACCGTTTTTTGTTTTCTGTTTTTTTCCAAGCTCCAGGCAATTGTGATGTTCTGTCAGGTTTGGGACCCTCTAAACCAGATGAGATAAGCTCTAAGTGCCCCCAGGCAGCTCTAGCACCAAGGGTCGAGTGAGGCGTGGCACCAAGATAGGACGGGCACATGCCAGAGCATTGTTCTTGAACATTCATTGTTACGATTAGGCTGCTCTATGCTCTTGTCCTGAGACCGTCCATGCCTCACCAAGAGATAAGCAATGTTGGGGCGCCTGGGTGGCTCAGTCGGTTGAGGGTCTGATTTTGGCTCAGATCATGATCCCAGAGTCCCAGGATTGAGCCCCAGGACTGAGCCCCTACTCAGCAGGGAGTCTGCTTCTCCCTCTGACCCCTCCCACCTCTGACCTCCCTCTCTCTCTCAAATAAGTAAAATCTTTAAAAAAGAGAGAGAGAAGCAATGTTTAAAAAGCAAAGAAAGATAGGGTGCCTGGGTGGCTCAGTCGTTGGGTGTCTGCCTTCGGCTCAGGTCCTGATCCCGGGGTCCTGGGATCGAGCCCCTGCTCCGCGGGACGCCTGCTTCTCCCTCTCCCGCTCCCCCTGCTTGTGTTCCCTCTCTTGCTGTGTCTCTCTCTGTCAAATAAAATCTAAAAAAAAATAAAATAAAATAAAAAATAAAAAGCAAAGAAAGCTTTGGTCAAGAGCCAGAAATCAATCCAGCACATCAAGTGTGTTCTAAGGTATTTTAAGTCAGTTCTGGAGAACCACTATTCATTTCCTCTGCTTTGGCTTCTTAAACAACAGAGCGGTCAGTTCGGACAAAAAAAACCCTGGGCGGAAACTCCTAATGGTGTGCTGGCCCCTCCCCTTCCCTCAAATGACATTTACTTTCTTTCCAATCTTCTTCCAAAGGTATCAGGTTGCTCTTCCACTCTAGGGTCAAAAGAGCTGCTTTTGTTCTCAGCCACAAATTTCTCCAGAATTCTCTTCAGAGACAACTTAGCCCTATAAAAGGGGTGGGGTGGGGTCAGGTGGAGTCAGGAGGAATTTGGGAGAAAGCTGTGAAGGGCCCAGCTTGCAGCACCATGAAGAGCTTTCCTGTTGGCTTTCTTGTTCTCCTGATCTTCATCCTGAGTGTCCATCATGGAGTTGCCACACGTATGGAGCTGTCCCACTCCCTTCCCCGGTGTGGGCTGAGAGTAGAAGCAAAGGGTCACCTCCCAGCTCCTTCCTGTCCCTGTTTTTTTTAGGTGGCACTGATGTGGCCAAGTTCTGCTGCTTCCAATATAGCCACAAGATCCTTCCCTGGAAGTGGGTGCATTCCTATAAATTCACCAGGAACAGCTGCTCCCAGCAGGCTGTGATGTGAGTATTTCTTGTTTGGACTTTCAGGATCCCCACCAGCCATGTAAGTGCCTGGGCATTGGGCAGACCCCCACAATGCCAAGACGAAGCTCAGGATGGGACTCTGGTAACTTGGGTTATCACCCTGCCTCTGCCACTGAGTGGGACCCTGGAGCCTTGGTTTCCTAACTTTCATACCATGTGCCAAGCAATGTGCTAAGTGCTGGGTATAAAAGGGAGAACAGACAGCCCTTATAGACCTTACATCTTAGCATAAGAAAAAGCTGTTAAAGGCATAAAATAGATAATGCAATGAAGAGAGAGAGCAGGAGGGAATTTGTTGTAGGGGAGGCAGAATTTTATCTCTGCCCTCTTAGGGGCTCTGGCTGAGCCTGAGAAGGAAATTGATGTAAGACAGATTAACAGCAAAAAAAAAAAAAAAAAAAAAAAGCACACAAATTTTTACATGTACATGGGAGCCCCCAAAGGAAAATGAAGACCCAAAGAAGTGGCAAAACCCAAATGCTTCTATGCTAGCTTGAACAGAAAGAGTCGATTGTGGAAATGTGACTAAAATCTATAGGATAGGCTATACAGGATAGTAAGACTTACCTTAACAAGGTCTCTTTGTAAAGAATTCTCTTGGCCTTGACTTCCTATCTCTGGCAATAGGAATGTTTCTTTTCTCCTGGTACAGGAAAGATATCTTTCAAATGGGAATTCTATCTCCTGCTTTCAGGGGGAAAAGAGGAGGTCAGAACACCCTTCTTGCACCTGCTGTTTTTTTTTTTTTTAAGTGTCTTTAGCTCAAAATAATCCTTCTGCCAAAGTGGCATATTTTTGGGGGGCATATTCTGCCTCCCTTCATCATAGTCACACGAGGACCTAACTTGGTGTGAGGAAGTTCTCCCAGAGGAGTGACATGTACACTGAGACCCCCCCAAGGATAAGTGGGAGTGGCCTTGTTCCAAAGTGGAACAAGGATGTGCCAGGCAGAGAGCAGCAGGTGTGTGGGAAGAACATGTCACTGACAAACAGACAGGTAGACAGGAGCCAAGTTGTGCTGGGTTCTTCAGTAGTGGGAGAAAGAACACAGGGCCGCTGGCAGGACTAAATGAGATGTCACATGCAAAGTCTTTGGCACTGTGCCTACACACAGTACTTGTTTGGCAAATGGAAGCTATCTTTAAATGCAAATACACAGGGAAGGGCTGGTTGCTGCTCCCAAGGGCATGGGGTTCCTGAACATCAGAGAATGGTGCAGAAGCAGGGAGAATGGGCTCCAGTGGCAGACCTGAATGTCATTGTTTTGAGACAGTTAGGAATAGGAAAGGGACACTCAAGTGCCTAATTGTGGTGGGGGCAAACTCCTGGGCTTAGAATCTTCTCCTTTGTGTCTTGATTTAAAGCTTTCTGGGGCTTTTAAGATGTCAACATGTAACATCTGGCAAAGAGCCCTGAGCTGGGCTTAAAGCAGTGGCTCCGTCACTTGCAAGCTACGTGACCTTGGGCAAGTCAAGTTTCCTCATTTGTAAAGAAAAGGGGAGAGGGTCAACATCGGTTATCAATCACTGGATGACGGGCTGCCCCAAAACTTGGTGGCTTAATACAACAATGATCCCTTTCTGATCTCTGTGGGATAGGACTTGCAGCAGGGTTTGGCCGGATGGTTCTGGCTTGGCATCTGTCCTGGGGGTAGAGTCAGATGGAGCTGGAGTTGTTGAAGCTGGTGGCATCTCCCTTTGGGGCCTTTCTGTGCGGTGTCTCTGTTGGGCCAGTTTGGGCTTTGGCACGGTGTGGTTACCTGGAGTGGGGGGCCTCCTTACAAGCTGGTTCAAAGCTCCAGCCTAAGTGTCCCTGTGAACCAGGCAGAAGTTCCATAACCTTCTATGATTTAACCTATGAGGTCACACAGCATCACCTCTGCTTCGATCTGCTGGTCGACCAGTTGGCCTAAGGCTGGCCTTAATTCGAAGGGAGGGGACACAAATCCCCATCTTTTAATGGGAGTGGTGTCAAAGAAATTTGAAAGGTTCACAAAGCCCTGCCTCTCCCCCATTTTCCCATCATTTTGGCTCTTCTCTCCAGCATGGGGCCAGCCTGAGAGCCCCGTAAATACCACTGTGCCCTGTGAGCTACTCCAGGCTGGAGCATCCCCGACCTAGGCTCTCAGCACAGCTGAGGCTAGAGGACACTCAGGGGTATCAAACAATGACCCCCACTCATCATGAGTGCACAGTGTTGTAAGGAATGCAGGAATCCTATATAAACAGCCAGGGCCAACAACCCATGATAATGTGGGTAAGAACTGAGCAGCACAACAGGCTTTGATCTCGTGTTATTACTTGAAGACCTGATGTGCAATGATTCCATGAATAAAAATAATAAAGACTTTTGGGGGGTCAGGCTGATGTTCTAAAATGGATGGTGGGCATGGCATGTGAACGATATCTCCATAAAGCGTCTATGTTAAAACAAAAGAATTGAGAGGCATGGTACAGGTTACATGCTTTGGACTAAAGCTGTTGGAAACGATTTCCTGGGGGAAGTGGGCCTGGGAGCATGGGCTCCAGTGAAAAATAGGGCAGAGGGGAAAGCAAAGACCAGAATCGGAAGCAGAAACTGTAACAGGTGCAGCAAGGCGAGAGAAAGTGAGTCAAGGGGCTGCCCCCGCCCAATTTCCATCTCTACAGGAGACAAAAGTTCTCAGTATTGACTGTCAGCTTATCTTTTCCAGATTCACTACCAAAAAAGGCCATAAAGTCTGTGCACAGCCAAAGGAAAAATGGGTGCAAAGATACATCACTTTGCTCATAGAACAGCAGCTATCCTAACTGTTGAATTTTAAGCCCAAGGACACCTGGGCCCTGCTCCTGACCCTGCTTGTCCTTGGCAGAACCTGGAGATTGTCTTCAGCAGAAGGCTCTGTGGGACTGAGGAGGAAGAGAGGCTTATAATAAAGATTTCTCCATTAAGATTTGATTTGTTCCTAAACATTCTCATTCAGTAAAACCTCAGTCTTCTTCAAAGCAAAGAAACGGAGTCGATATTTTTGGCTGGTTCCCTGCCCCAGCACCGGTATGGCATTCTTCCTTATGTTTTTGTGCCAAAAAAAAAAAAAAAAAAGGCCAGGGAAAACTCGATATATTTTGGCATAATGCCCATCAAATGTTTTCACATTATTTAGAGACGTAAGTTTATGTTATTTGGAAAATTAAATTCTGTGCAACCCCTCATGGCCTGTTAGTGCTGGGTCAATAAAATGCCTCCATATCTGGCAGTGTTTTCTCATAAGGTGTCAATCAATAAACATAAATATCGAGGCACCCAGGTGGCTCAGTCGGTTGAGCGTCTGACTCTTGATTGTGGCTCAGGTCGTGGTCTCAGGGTTGTGAGATTGAGCGCCCCCCACCAGGGTCCATGCTCAGCAGGGAGTCTGCTTGAGATTCTCTCTTTCCATCTCCCTCTACCCCGCCCCCCCCAAAAAGATAGATAAATAAATAAATAAAATCTTTGGAAAATATATTATCTATCCACCGTGAAACTTAAACAACAGAGCTTAGGGAACAGCAATTGAGTTAATTCTGGAATAGTAGAGAAACCAAACTAGAGGGAACCATAGGCAGGTCGGGAGAACAAAGGAGAACATCCTTCTACGGAGGAAAGGAGGAAGTTGGGAAGGGTTGTTTCGAACAAAAGTTCATTGGAGGAAAATGAGAGCTAGAAGTGGCTGTGGTTACCCGGCAGAGAGGACATCTCCATTCTTCCTGCTGGTCTGTGTGAGTGGTGGTGCATGAGTGCTCTCTCTTCATGGCTTCCCCACTCCATTTTTTTTTTTTTAATTTAAGTAGACTCCATGCTCAATGTGGGGCTTGAACTCACAACCCTGAGATTAAGAGTTGCATGTTTTACCTACTGAGCCAAACCCATGTCCCAGTCCCTGCTCCATTTTTGATGAATGAGGTTTCCTTTATTCATTTTCACATTCCCCCCTTTTGATCAAGATCTTTTCTTGAAATCATCATCTGTTCAAGAGTCAGACTTTCTGTATTTAGTGGTTTGTCCTTCAGGCTCAGGAAGGACCTTTCCCAATTGTCATGTTGCATGTCAAAGGGAAAGTGCGTAGCAAATGGAAGCCATTTAAGACCAGGTTTGAGTAACAAGGAAGGGCAAGAGAAGGAACTCTCGGATATTTCCTATCTCTATCTTATCAAGGTTTTAAGTGCCAGAGGTCATCTTGAACCTTGAGCCAGCATCACCCATTGGGTTCGTCATTTCTATAAAGGTTTGATGGGCAATGGTCACAAGGCTTAAAAATGATTGTACAAAACAAACAAGGAGCAGAATAATAAACCCAAGGGTGCCTGGGTGGCTCAGTCAATTAGGTGTCTGCCTTTGGCTCGGGTCATGATCTTGGGGTCCTGGGATCAAGCCCCACGTCAGGCTCCCTGCGCAGTAGAGAGTCTGTTTCTCCCTCTCCCTCTGCCCCTCCCCCATTTGCGCTCTCTCTCTCTCTCAAAAAAATAAATAAAATCTTTAAAAATAATAATAATAATAAACGCAGTTTATATAATGGTCCTGAATCAGGAGGCCAAAACTGAAGGTAACCAGCTAAATAGATCAAAAGACCAGGGGTCAGTTAGGCCAGATTTTCTCCTAGCCTGAAATAAAAAAAAAACTGTTCTAAATTCCAGAGGTTGGGGCACCTGGGTAGCTCAGCGGGTTAAGCATCTGACTCTTGATTTCAGCTCAGGTCATGATCTCAGGATCTGAGATCAAGCCCCCTGTCTGCTGGGTGTGGAGCATAAAGCCTGCTTAGGAGGATTCTCTCAATCTCTCTCTCTCTCTCTCTCTCTCTCTCTCTCTCTCTCTCCCTGTGCCCTGCCTCTCCCACCCCCATAAGCACATGCACATGCTCTCGCTCCCAATTGCCCAGATAAATCAATCAATCAATCAATCAGTCAATCCAGAGTTGCCCCCCTTAGCAATGGCCTAGGAAATACGGATAATGGTGTCATCTTTCCAGGCCAATGCCAGAGTCAAGGAAAGAAAGGATTTCATGTTCAAAGTATCTTGGGCCGAGGTGGCCTACATTGATGTCAGCTACTTCTCTTCCCAGTCATTTGATGCAGAGGGTCTCCAGCGTTCATTCATATAAGACCAGCCATCAGGTGAGTTTTCTATAGCTGTGAGATCTGTACCCAAGCTTCAGGTCCCTGCAGTGAGGAGGACCTCGCATAGTCTTTCAAGGAGGTTCAAGGGCAATCTTTGTTCCTAGGGATGCCAACTCAGAAGGGGGGAATAAAATTGGAAATGTTATTTTGGAGAGTCATGGCCGGATATTTAAGGGAACTAGAAGAATTCAGTGTCCAGTCCAATTTACAGGCCTCTCACAAAACCTCAGAGACAATTAACAGGATTAGAATCTAATATTGACAAAGGTACAAACATAATTTTTCTCTCTGCAATCATCCTCATGATTTTTCCCAGATAATCACAGTGAAATGGATTCATTTGATTCAGTTTGGCCTGGTTATTTACATAAGTGTACCAAGAATAGCAATTGACCATCTAAACTCTTATAAGACTGCTTTGCTGAAACTTTTTAAAAAAGATTGTATTTATTTATGAGAGAGACAGAGAGAGAGAAAGAACCTGAGCGGGGGGAGGGGCTGAGGGACAGCAGATTCCTTGCTGAGTGGGGAGCCTGATGCAGGGCTCAATCCCAGGACTCCGAGATCATAACCTGAGCCAAAGTCAGATGCTTAACCCACTGAGCCACCCAGGTGCTTCTGTTGAACTTTTTTTTTTTAAGTATTTTACTATTTGCATTTTTATATTTTTCCCTGCTTTTATTTTTTTTAATTTTATTTTATTACGTTATGTTAGTCACCATACATTACATCATTAGTTTTTGATGTTTGTGTTCCATGATTCATTGCTTGCGTATAACACCCAGTGCTCCATTCAATACACACCCTTCTTAATACCCACCACCGGGCTAACCCATCCCCCCACCCCCTCCCTTCTAGAACCCTCAGTTTGTTTCTCAGAGTCCATCATCTCTCATGGTTCATCTCCCCCTCTGATCCCCCCCCTTCATTTTTCCCTTCCTACTATCTTCTTTTTTTAAAAAAAAAACATATAATGTATTATTTGTTTCAGGGGTACAGGTCTGTGATTCATCGGTCTTACACAATTCACAGCGCTCAACATAGCACATACCCTCCCCAATGGCTATCACCCAGCCACCCCAACCCTCCCACCCACCACCACTCCAGCAACCCTCAGTTTGTTTCCTGAGACTAAGAATTCCTCATATCAGTGAGATCATATGATATTTGTCTTTCTCTGATTGACTCATTTCCCTTAGCATAATACCCTCTAGTTCCATCCACATCATTGCAAATGGCAAGATTTCGTGTTTTTTGTTGGCTGCATAATATTCCATTGTATATATATATATACACCACATCTTCTTTATCCATTCATCTGTTGATGGACATCTTGGCTCTTTCCATAGTTTGGCTATTGTGGACATTGCTGCTATAAACACCAGGGTGCACGTACCCCTTCGTAACATTACATTTGTATCTTTGGGTAAATACCCAGTAGTGCAATTGCTGGGTGGTAGGGTCAGCTGAAACTTTTTTATAAGGAATCTCAGATTGAACTTTTAAAAGCCTCTGAGGCCAGGAATTTATTGGCTCCATAGAAGTCCATTTTAATCCCTTAAAGCTGTCTGGTCATATCTGAATCTATGCACATCTCTCTTAAAAATGACAATCCAGTTAAAATCTTGGTAATATAACTAATATTTTAAATTGTGTTCTGTTTCAAGGAGAACAGATTTTCATTGAACTTATGCAAATAACTAATTATATTACCATGTGAAAATGAACTCAAGAGTTTCCAGATTCTGGGGGGATCAGGTAAGGAGAGAAAGACAAATGTTTCATCTCGGTTTACAAAGGCACATTTTACTAAATTGATATAAAACATAGCTAGCTTAAGAGGAAAGGTATCTTCATATCTAGAAAGCAAAAGTTAAAGAACCAGTAACATTTTAAAGAAAAAGACATAGAAATTCTAATCATTCTTGTCAGTTCATTCAGCCCCATTTATTAGTTTTTGCTGTTTGAATCCAGGTTTTCCATTAGTTCTGGAAATTCTTACCCAATTTTATGATCTCAATTCAATTTTATGATCAGTTTTATGATCTCAGTTATCAGAAATCTGTACTTTGTTGGAGCTCTTTCCATGAATCACATTTGTGGGTATACTTTTGCAAAAGCACCAGAGTAAAGTAATAACTGGAAATGACCAAAGACTTAGAAATGTCCATTATTTTTTATAATGTTTTTAAGTTTTTTTATTTAAGTAATCTCTACACCCAGCATGGGGCTGCAACTCACAACTCTGAGATCAAGAGTCAGATGCTCTTCTGACTGAACCAGCCAGGTACCCCTAGAAATGTCCATTATTAAAGATCTGATGAGAGTTCATTACCATGGAATTGACAAGGAAATGTGGTTATTTCTATAATATACAACTTTTTAAGATAATAACTGGAATTAGGACCGGTAACATAATACGAAGACATATCAGATGGGGGGGGTGGAGCAAGATGGCGGAGGAGTAGGAGACCTGGATTTCATCTGGTCTCAGGAATTCAGCTGAATAGGGATTAAACCATTCTGAACACCTACAAACCCAACAGGAGATCAAAGAAGAGAGTTGCAACAACTCTCTGCACAGAGAAGCGACCACTTACTGGAAGGTAGGACGTGCGGAGAAGTGAATCCGAGGCGATATTCGGGAGGATAGACGGCGGGGGAGGGGGCTTCCATCGGCCGCTTCTGGCAAGTGATAGAGCCGCGGAGCACAAAATCAGAACTTTTAGAAGTCGGCTCCGCTGAGGGACGTCGCTCCTGTGGCTAAGCGGGGGGTGGAACCCTCGCGGGACAGTGTGGTC